AACCCAGTTTCACAAATGTCTGCATGCATTTGCAGTATAGCCCTGGAGTCTGGAAAAACTCAGCTGCTCACCCCAGATCGGGAGCTGTACTATTCCTAAGCCACCTGACTTTGATTGAGCTATTTTTAGCCCCTTCAGCTCCACAGCCCCCTCATTGTGTTGGAGATGAAATTTGAGCCAGAGTCTATGTTGGAACTGTCTGGTTCTAAATAAGTCAGTCCATGACCTTTATCTGACCTGGTCTTGCGGAGTGAGTGCAAGTTGCTACCTACGAAGGTATTGGAGTAACGTGCTGTGTGCACACCCGTGAGCTGTGTGCAGAGCCATGGTGGGTGGGGTGCACTACCCATATAAAAGATCCCTTGATTGACAGGTCTGTGTGTGTCTGAGCATGGCTGGGGGTAGCCGGGTGCATTTGGATGTGTCTGTGCACAGGTCTGAGGTAGTTGCAGCATGCGGGTGTGACTGTGAGGGATCAAGTGGTGAACGGAGAGTGTTTGAGGATATTGGAGTGTGATTGATTGTGGGTGAAAGTTGGAGTGTGTGACCGATCCGGAGAAGTGTGACAGGATGGTTTGGCAAGTGTACCATGGAGGTATGTGGTGATGAGCCTCCATGTTCGGCGAGACTCCAATGGTCCCCACCATTGTGGATCTTCTGGTCACCAGTGAGAGTAGCTAGGGTTGGCTCCCGGGGTTCTTTGCCCTCCAGGTGTTCATAGAACTTAAGGCAGCATCCCCCTACTCTCTCGTGTGTGAGTATCGCCCATTCTCCTCCTCTCCACTTTCCCCACTTCTTGTTTGGTTTCCCTGATTACACCACCAAGCAATTGTCCATGGTGCTAGCTGTGCTCAAGTGACCTGAGGTGGCAGAATCCTGAGTTAATAAAGATTCCTCTCCTCCTTATAATAAAATTCACACCTACCTTGAATGTGTTGTTAAATAATAAATAAATAAATAAATAAATATATATGAATGAGGCTACAAATGTCCAACTCGGGATTCTTAAAATTCTAGTTTATTAGGCAGATTGAAACACTGTAATCATAAACCTTGGGGCTGGTCCCCCCC